AGGATCCTGTAACATTGAAGATGAATGGCTGCTGAAAATTCAACTTTGCCATCACAGGAATACACTGCATTTAAACCATATTAAAATATAAAACAGTTATTTTAAATTGTAATATTTCTCAATAATATTACTGTTTTTTAATAAAATCTTAACAACCACTGCATTTTTATATAATGTGTGTTTATTCTAATATATTATATATTAAATTATATTATTATATTACTATATATAATATTAATTATATATAGTAATATATATAATTAATATTATATATATTAATATTAATTTCAAACATTAATTAAAACGAAGTGTACAGAAAAAAGGACCTTGGATAGCTCACATGGCAACTGGTCATTAATCTATCACCTCCCCTATGCATGCTGAGCGAATCTTTTACTAGCTGACTTCACGTCTACTGCACATCAAAGCTCTGTGCGTCACTCCAGTCACACCGTTATCTCACATTCCTCACTTCATTCACACTCAGCCTCTTCAGCTTTTGCATGCACTCCTCAATGCTGCCTAACCAAAGTTCCAAACAATCACAGCCTAGCCCAGGTGAGCTGATGTCTCAACCAGGAGACAGCCGCAGACACGCATACAAGACCACTATATGGCGAAGCCAATTAAGCCAATGCTGCCTGAAGGAACAGTGATTACACTGTTTATAATGATAAGCCTCAAAGCAGCTCGGATTGGCTGTAAGCTAGCTTTCTGTCCTCTTTGACCACAAGAGCTGGTCCCAAATTTAAGACACAGGCCTGATAATAGCTAGGTCCTTATGGGATCAGAAGCTCCCTATTTCAGGCTGCTCTGCTCTGGCCTGCCCGGGCTCAGGCTGCCCATGTCTGTGGTCACTGGTGCACTATAAATAAAAGCAGACACTGGGTACAGGCACCCTATCACATTGCCATACAAGCCAGAGAGAGAGAGGGAGGAAAGTCACCCCAGCCAGAAAATTTTCAGCAGCCATTACTCCAGTCTTCAGTGTCATATGATCCTTCTGAAATCATTCTAATATGCTCAAAAAACATTTATTATTATTATCAATGTTCAAAACAGTTGTGGTGCTTCATATTTTTGTGGAAAGCATAATATAATTTTCAGGACTCTTTGATCAATAGAAAGTTCAAATGCACAGCATTTATTTGAAAGAGAACATCTGTAACACTATAAACATCTTACTGTCATTTTGGACCAATTTAATACGCAAAACCTTGGATTAGTCTGTTTTATTGTATTGGTATCGGGACCAAAATGTCTATATTTTTTTAAATATCTATGCTGAGCTGACTGTACTTCCCCCGTGCATGTCCTGCTCACTGCAGAGACAGAGAGAGAGAGAGAGACAGACAGAGAGAATGGATGGATTAGAAAGAGAGAGAAAGAAGCTAAGGCAGAGCACAACTGAGTAATTGAGGGTGACATGTCTGTAACAACACATCAGGCTGTTTGAATAAAGCCCCTTCCTAAGAGAAATGGAGAGAATAGAGAAAGAGAGAGAAGTGATGGAACAGATGCTTGGAATTAGAGTAGCCAGTGAGGGGGTGTCATCCGCAAAAAAAAGAAAGTGGCAGCAGTTTTGGTACTGGATAAATAGTCCCACACAACCTCGCTGTGCTTTATAGAGCGAGGAGGCAGCCGTGCTGAATGCGTTTGATATGGGCTCTCGCTCCAGGCCTCGCCATCGCATTGCTAAAGGCTCCAATAGCAGAAATTTAGTACGTGTTTAACAGCACACCACATTTCTTTGTGCTTCGCTAGCATTTAATACTTGATCTCCAGTGCCAAGCAGAAATCTGGCACACACTCAAGCCACTGGGGGTCTGCTTTTTGGTGCCACTGAGGGACATAAAAGAACGAGTGACCTTCTTCCTTCTGTATCCTTTTTACTGTCATTTTGTAATTCATTGGATTTTATCTTTTAACTTACCGGAACGTAGAGTAACAAGAAAAGCAGGTTAAACAGACGAATCACAAAGAACAGATGTCTTCATGTAAGCATGTGTACTGTCCTCTGCACCATGGATCCTGACCTTTTGTTAAAAATAAAAACGACATTAAAGAGATAGCTCACCTAAAAATGAACATTTTGTCATAATGTACTTTTCTTCATGTTGTTGCAAACTCGTGTGAACGTGGAACACAAAAGGAGAACTTCTGAAGGCAGTGCTGGTCAGTCTTTTCTATGAAATGACAATAGGACTGAAACTTTAATCTGAATGAATTTGAATTAAATATAAAGCTGATTGATAAGTTCACAAGTCAGACTGATTTGGTTCTCGAGGCACTGATTCAGTGAATCACAAATCAAACTGATTCAGTTCTCAATGTCACTGACTCACTGATTCGGAGTCAGTGACCTTGGGAATCATGATTCGTAAATAAGACTACTTCAGTTCTTGAAGTCACAGATTCAAAGAATTACTGAAGAGGAGAAACTATTATTGAGTAATAGCTTAAATTTTGACCTGTTTTCACACAAATTTTCATTGTTTTAGAAGAATAAGATTATAGCAATCATATGCATATATATGTATGGTGTTAAGTCCTGTTCACACCAAGGACTAAGGTAAGTTCACTACACGGCTATAATGATAACAACCAAGAGGAATGATACCATCAGAACATTTTTTTTCCAGTTGATGAACGAGAAAAACACTGACAGTCAATCAGTATCCACTGGCTCACGCACTAGATAGCTGGCCAATCAGAGCACACCTCGCTTTTTCAGACCGATGAGCTTTGTAAAAATCGACGCGTTTCAGAAAGGCGGGGCATAGAGGAGAAACAATAATGTACAGTATGTGGAAAATAATGTGTTTTTTTAACCTTAAACATGTCATTACACCAAATACACAAAATAATGTTCTTTTTAGCAGCATCATATGACACCTTTAAAGAGGCAGACGACAAAACCTCAGCGCATGCTTATAATAAACAGAACATAATCTTCCATTGCTGTGGATGCTAATATAGTTATTGTTATAGTTATCTTTACAGTTAAGAGTTCTTGGTGTGAACAGGCCTTTTTACATTAATGGTGAATGTTTTGAAGCTTAAAACTTTCAGTGCCCATTGGTTGTGACTGCGTGAAAAATAATGATAACATGAGGGCAAGTAAATGATGAGATAATTTATTATTTTCAGGTAAACTATCCCTTCAAGTAACTGTAGATTCACTGCATGTATTATGTAGACAATTTGCTGAAGCGTGGAAAAGGGAACATTTTTAAATAGATGATTTTTACTGACCAAACATATTACTTGATAGCATTAGCTTCAGAAAGATGCAGTACAGACAATAAATTTGATATTATATATAAAAGCAAAAGAACTTTCCATTTCTGAGAACGCCATCTTGCCGAGCGTTCCAGAAGCATTTCTGAAACACCATGTTGTGGTGGACCATCGCAGCGAGTGGAAAATGGAGGCCTTGCCAGCTGTCTGAGGGCTGGAGGAGTGAATCAGCCTTTCTGGAAAAATCTGAATGTGCCTCATAACCCAAAGCCTCAAACACAGGGAGGGCAAACGCAGGAAAACCTCCATCCTTGCACCACCCAGGGAGCAGGAGAGAGAAAGAGAGAGACAGACCCACACTCATCCGAAGCCAAGAGGCAGAGGGAAATGGAGGTTATGGATCAGGTCATCCTGACATCATGATTCTTTTTTTTTTTTTGCAAGGCTGGGACAGAGCCTTGTATTCCTCAATAACACAATCACTATGAGAAGGCCTGGATACGAGTGTTGCAGAGACTTGTTTGTGTATGTGTGTGTGAGAGAGAAAGACAGGCAGAGTGAGCAGTGAGTGAGTGAGCATGAGAGAGCTGGCACGCTCTCCTCAGCCCACCAGCCAGGAAGCATCAAGTTCTTATTTAGCACAGGAAGAGCAGCTTTGCTTAGCAACTACACTGACTCTCCAATCACAGAAGTTTTCTGAATAATGCTGCTTGGACGTGGAGCGAGAGCCGTCTGCTTGCCTCTGAGGAGTGAACGAGAGGCCACGGGCTGCTTAAAAACACAAAATCCCTCTTTTCATAAAAGGCCCAGACTGCTCACGTAAAAAAAAAGGAGCTTTTTTTCTTAGCCTAGAAAAGAACCAACTTTCAATGTGTGGTTTAGAAAACTCAGCCTGCTCATAATTGAATTAAACTGCTACTATGTTATGTTTACAGGAACAGTTTACCTAAAAGTGAAAATTCATTATTTACTCACCCTCATGTTGCTGCGAACCCATAGGACTTTCTTGCTTCCATGAAACATAAACAGAGAAAAATCTGAATAATGTGCAATTACAATGAATAGGGTTATAAATGAGTAGGGCACTTTCAAGCTTAAAAAGGATGCAAAAGCACCATGAAAACAGTCCAAAACATATGTTGCGCTTACTGCTTACTACTAGTTTTCCCTTCCAGTGGGCTAATCATTGGAACTCTGTGTCAGAACCAGATCAGTCTAATTCACAAAAGAAGAACTCAGACTGGTTTTGCAAAAAAAAAAATTAAAAGAACAACTGGATCACTAATATGACATAGCTACTTCACTCATGATCAAGGGCAAGGGCCGGCAGCGAGATATTTAGTGAATTTCGACTTACAGTTGGGTATGTTTTATACACAAAGGTATCGAATGACTTTAGAAGACCTGAAATATAGTACATGAGTTGTATGGTTTTAATGTTACTTCTGTGGTGCTTTTTAATCATTATGGAGTTTGGCAGACCCATCCACTTATTGTATTGTAAAGAATAGCAAGGATATTCAAAATTTCACCTTTTATTGGAAAGACATGAGGGTGAGTAAATAATGGAGAATTTTTCATTTTTATTCCCTTTAATGCCTCAGATGGAAGCAGAGATCGGACAGGAAACAATGAGGGGGGAGCAAGTTTGGGAAACAGAGTAAGCGGATGGATTTGAACTCACTTCACCTACACAGCACAATAAGTCACGTGCACTAACTTGACCACAGCTCTGACATTAACTGACAGAGTTTTAAAACATAAAACTCATTTTAATTATGCATGACAAAAATACTCATTCTTCCTCATTATCGATGCAGAATGCCAGTGTCAATCTATGATGTGCACAGATGTGACCAAGCAACAGTTGCACATGTGCACTTAATTCTATTTGAACATTTAAAAAAAAAATCAACTTCATTTTAGATTCACAAGCTTATCCTCATGGTAGCTTTGCGGGCAGTCAGTGGGAGTTTTGTAGGCGAGAGCAACATGCCAGTTTGTCATATGGCACACGCACGCAGACCGAAGCTGCATCATCCCACAGACAGACCCTGAGGAAACATCTTTACCACACAGTCCTCACCCTTCTCCGAGCAGCTCTAACAGAAGTCAACCGCTGTAGGAAGTAAACGCACTCAAGCATGTCTCAGAATGCCAGATTCTTTCAGAAGCAGTTTAGTACGGCGTATTTGTGTAAAATGTAATTTAAAATAATCACTGTAGGCAAGACACAATGCAAGAATACGCAATGGGTTGTTTGGTTTCCTCACCATTTCTTTTGGCTGAAATAAAACTGGTGCATATTTGTAATTCGACCACATTCAGATCAGGAATACACTCCTTTAATTAGGGCTGGACGATATGGCCAAAATTGATATCACGATATATTTCTTAATTTCGGTCGATACGATATAATTCCGATATCGATATGAACACTATTTATCTGAAATAGAAATCTTTTGTAACATTATAAATGCCTTTATCATCACTTTTGATCAATTTTAAGCATCCTTGCTAAATAAAAGTATTAATTTCTATAATTTCTTTCCCAAAAAAATAATAAAAATTATACTGAATGGAATAGTGTATAATGTTACAAAAGCTTTTTATTTCAGATAAATGCTGATCTTTGGATCTTTCTATTCATCAAAGAATCCTGAAAAAAAAATGTACTCAACTGTTTTAAATATTGATAATCAGCAAATCAGCATATTAGAATGATTTCTGAAGGATCATGTGACACTGAAGACTGGAGTAATGATGCTGAAAATTTACCTATGTATGATCACAGGAATAAATTACATTTTAAAATCTATTCAAATAGAAAGCAATTTTAAATAGTAAAAATATTTCAACATTTTACTGTTTTTGCTGTACTTTGGATCAAATAAATGCAGCCTTGGTGAGCAGAAGAGAATTCTTAAAAAAAAAAAAACCCCTTTAAAAATCTTACTGTTCAAAAACTTTTGACTGGTAGTGTAGGCTGATTATTCTTATAGATTGAAACAAATGTGCTTCAGCCAGAAAAAAAGGGTATGAAAAGTGCTCCGAGTCGCTGCCGAAAACAAAAAAATTGAACAACAACAAAAACTGGAAATGTTGCTGGAGACGGGCTTATTTAAAATGAAAACTCATGCTCTGCTAGCAGGAGGCGCTTTTAGAGTGATAGAACTAGCGGTTTCTCCAGTAATGGCTGTAATCAAAGCAGCTCCGCTCATGAACGCTTCTTTATCAGATCAAATGAAAATGCCATCGAAACTTTTCTGAAGACAGTCGGTTCCCTTCACAGATACATTTATATAAAACACCCGCGACATTTTTTGATTTTGAAACGTGCAGTGCTCATGTTTATTCAACGAAGTCAAACGGCACAAATAAATCAATGTATGGGAAACACTGGTAATGTATATCGAAATATCGGAAATGTGTTTAAAAATCATATAACCGTTATTGAAAAAAATTATATCGCGATACATATTGATATTGAATTATTGTCCAGCCCTACCTTTAATGTTCCTAATTTGCTCTGTTTGGCCAAGAATTAATTGAAATTCCAAGTAGAGTAAATAAAAATGCATCCTCCAGCTCATGAGGATGGATCAGGGAGGGAATACGAAGTCGTACAAGGGCGTGCATCTAAGGGCGAGAGATACACCACTAAATTAAAGCTACATTTAAGCCATTTCCATCGGAATGAAACTTTGTCCGAGTGGACTTCGCAGAGCAGTTACGGATTAGCAGACTTGCAAGGGGCTCAATTAAGGCACTGGGTTTCTTGCACAGTGGCAGCTGTGTACTTCAGGATTTTCCATCTCCAGAGCAGATGGGTTGCCATATTAATTATGAAGCTGATGATCGCTATTGACTAAGGGGCCTGATCTGAGAAACTGATCATAAAACAACACCACCATCATTCTGCCATCTGTTCCCACAAACTGGTGGAAGTGCTGGCCTGCGCAACTCTAAACCTTAACCGATGCCATCATCAGACATCATACATACAGACTTACAAAACAGACGCCTGATTTAGTGACATTCATGGTTAACTGCATCACGATTAAAGATCAATATCATTGTTGTACCAAATCAACACTACACCAGTTCCTTGGAACACAAAAAGAGAAAAATCTAAATGTGCAATTAGAATGCATGGGGACCAGAGCTTTCAAGCTTAAAAATGATGCAAAAGCACCTTAAAAGCATCATGAAAACAGTCCATTCGACTCATGCACTATATTCCAAGTTTTCTGATGGGAACAGACCAAAACTTAGGTTGCGTTTACTGATAATTCTTCACTTTGAGTCGATTAGTTAAATTCAGTGTTGGGGAGTAACTAGTTACATGTAACGGAATTACGTAATTTAATTACAAAATAAAATGAATTGTAATCAGTTACAGTTACTGAGAAAAAATGTGTAATTAAATTTGTTACTTATGAAAATGTTAAGGATTACAAAGGGGGTTACATCTGCTTTTTTTCACACACACTCCCACGTACAGATTTAATTGATTTCTTTCATAAATTGCAGTGACTGTAAAATATGAAACACCAATGTTTCAGGTGTTTAGAACATGCTTATTCGCTAACTCTTTTATTTCCTATATGAGTTTATGTATAGCTATGCTTAATTTTTTAAAGATTAACTTTTTTTCCAAGGCATTGTTACATTCCAGTGTTTACTGTCATAGCTATGTAAAGATTTGATTCCAAATAGTAGTATCACATAACCGAATGACGGCACTTATTAACATAACAGTCCATCGATTAGCATAAATCAAATGCTCATAAGGACATTTCCATTTCAAAAAATGTAACCCCTAAAGGTAATAGATACGAGATGGGAGGAAAAATATACTTCAATATATTCTGTCGCAATTATATTGTTGGGTAACTATACTGTATATAAACTGCGGGCATCAGGGAGCCGTTATTAATATGCGGGACATTGAAATCACTTATGAATGCAACCTTGTTTTTTACTTTCACTTTCGAGATTCACGATCACAAGTACTGAGCAGCACTCGGCAGTACTTACCACACATTTGACAAGATTAGATGTTTGGGTCTTCATGAATGGTCTGCAACATACTTTGGTTAAAATTCCTCAGTGGTCGTGTAAAACAACATCCTTTTTACCTTGCTCTGTTCACAGCGACTCATTTTGGGGCATGTCCCTTTAAATGCTAATGAGCTCTGCTCACCCGCCCCTTTCTTCCGTGGAAGAGCAAAGGCGATTTGCAAATTATTATAAAAAATATAAAGAGTCAGACTTACTACTTCTGGAGGTGCAGCTAGATCACGAACACTGAGATAAGATTCACGTTAATCAGATCTTGTTTTAAATGTGTGCTGAAATAAATCCCGGAAAAGATCGATTCGCGGCTTTTGAGAATCGATATCGAATCGATGTCATTTAAAAAAAACGATTAATCGAAAAATAAAATTTTTTGCCCAGCCCTAGTAGGGTGGTTGTGTCCACACACTGCTAAGATACATTTATATGCAAACACCATGTAAAAATGAATTTTGCATCCAATGTCTACTTTAAAACTAAATATAATCTTAATTCAAAGTGATGAAGGATTTCAAAAATGTGACAGTAATCAGTGTTGAGTACTACTGTAAGGTTTACCCTGCCTGGTTTACATGTTTGAAAATGATAAACAGTTGAAAACATTAGATATTTTGAAAAGTAATCAAAGAATAATCAAATGTAATCAGTTACATTACTTTAATAAAGTAATTGAAAAGTTACACTACTTGATACATTTTAAGTAGGGTAACTTGTAATCTGTAACCTATTACATTTCCAAAGTAACCTTCCCAACAATGGTTAAATTTGAGAACCAGATCAGTCTAATTCTCAAAAGAACATTGCTACTAGTGTCATGAACACTGCATGGAGGGCAAGGGTGGATATTGAGATTTTTAGTGAACTGCAACTTACATTTCAGTCTGTTCTTCACACAAAGGTATCAAATGACTTGAGATATAGTGCAAGAGCTGTATGGACCAATCATGCAGACTTACTCACAAAACAGACGCCTAATTTAGTGACATTCGTTGCTAATTGTATCTCGATTAAAGATCAATATTATTGTGGCACCAAATCAACACAACACCACAGTGGATGCATTTCATGTTGGCAGCAGACACAGACAAAAGCCTACAAACTAATTACCATGGAGGCATTGGTCATGCAGTGTACACCAAAACGAAGCCAGAGACACAATGAGAGGTGACGGCTTAAGTAACAAAGCTATCCGGAATAAAAGAGGCGGCAGGTCTTCACCCCAGCATCAGCCAGTGGAGAGCTCCAGCTGACGCCCTTTAAACAAGAGGTCACACGGCAGAGAATAGAGGGCACAACCTCTGAGAGCCCCTGACCACCCCCTCACCTCCATCCCTCCAGGGAGGGGATGAGACAGCATCTCTTGGGGACTGTTAAAGGGATAGTTCACCCAAAAATGAAAATTTGATGTTTATCTGCTTACCCCCAGGGCATCCAAGATGTAGGTGACTTTGTTTCTTCAGTAGAACACAAATGAAGATTTTTAACTCAAACCGTTGCAGTCTGTCAGTCATATAATGGCAGTGGATGGGAATCACGGCTTTGAGAGTCATAAAACATACACAGACAAAACCAAATTAAACCCTGCGGCTCGTGACGATACATTGAGGTCTTAAGACACGAAACGATCGGTCTGTGCAAGAAACTGAACAGTATTTATATAATTTTTTACCTCTGATCCACCGCAATATCTGAGCGCGTTCACAACATCCGGCGCGTGACGAGTGTACGTGCTCTGGCATAGTAGACATAGATATATTTAAGTAGATTCCTCATTAGTGACTGTTTCTATGGGCCGCGATACGTTCCAAAATGGCGTATCTGGAGCAGTCGAATAGGGATCTATACATATCTATGATAGTAGACGCATGTGCGGAAGCGACCTGTCACGCATATACGTCACTCATTATTTACACAGTGCAGAGAGATTGCAGACGTGTTCACTGGCACTGCGATGATCTAAAGATATTTAGAAGTACAGGTCATCACAATGGAAGACTATTTTGATATATCATCAGACAACGTGGAATTTTTTGCCCAACCGTATTTATTTGACGTCACGGGCTGGATGTTGTGAACGCGCGCTCAGGACAGTTGGACATTGCGGTGGATCAGAGGTAAAAAATTATATAAATACTGTTCAGTTTCTTGCACAGACCAATCGTTTAGTGTCTTAAGACCTCAATGTATCGTCATGAGCCGCAGGGCTTAATTTGGTTTTGTCTGTGTATGTTTTTTTTTACTCTCAAAGCCGTGGAGCCCATTGACTGCCATTATAAGACTGATAGACTGCAATGGTTTGAGTTAAAAATATTTGTTTGTGTTCTACCGAAGAAACAAAGTCACCTACATCTTGGATACCATGGGGGTAAGCAGATAAACATCAAATTTTCATTTTTGGGTGAACTATCCCTTTAAGTCATCAAGCCGCCCTTGTAAATTTCAGCCGGTCAGAGAATAGTCATCTGAAAGTGGATTTTGACTCAGCTAAGTCAAACCCCAGGTAGCCAGTGTTGTTTGAGCATCTGATTCTGAGCAGCGGGGGTTGTTTGCTGGCTGCCGTGATGTGGTACGGACTTCGGATGAGTGGCCTGGCTGCGCTGGATGAAGTAGCACTTGCTTTGTTTGGGTGAGGGGGAGGTGGGACAAGCGGATGGAATTGTTGGCAGTCTGGATGCAGAGCAAGGGGCAGTGCGGCTGGTGGGACGCAGTGCGGGCCGCAACGGCGAGGTCAGCAGACAGATGGGAATGGAAATGAGTAGGCCATGCGCTCATTTTAATCTTTTCCCCACAGCTGATCGAGGCATTATAAATGCAAACTCGCACGCACATTGCGACCTCCATCCCCCAGGCGTGCGCATTTATTATGGCCGTGGCCACCTTGGGTCGGACACTCAGTTGATTGGTTTGTCCCAAATTTGCATGCAATTTATACACAACACTATTCTCACTGGAGTCTTCATTTCTGGCAGGACAATGCACATGCACTTGACATATGTGTTTTAAGGGAAAGTTGAAACTCCAAATAAAAAAATATGACACAGCCATTACATGCTGTATCAAAAAAACAGCTTATTCAGTCTTAGATATAATTCAAAAACAATTTCACAACTATTAAGAAGTTTTAATAAGTAAAATAATATAATAGGGAATGATAAAATATTAATAAGTTATAATAATTTGTTTAAAACATTTTTCAATTTTTAAAAATATTTAAAGAGGATAACACAGGGTAAACTGATGAGGTCATACTTTTTATATGAATCCGTAAAAATTGGGTAAATAAATTGAGACTAAGGCAAACAGTAATTTGGTGGGATGTTTTGCTACCTATTTATTTGCAAAGTATTCTTCAGTCTTTTATCAAACAACCATCTGTCCAGCTGAAGAACCAATGGCCAAACACGATTGGCCGGACTGACTGAGGAGAGGGGGTGGGGTTGTTGGTTGACTGGCTTTGGAGGGAGGTCACATGTCACGGCCCTTTGACGGCACGTCAAGGCCCCGGCGGACAGGGGCGACAGATTCTTAATGACAAATCGCCACCCTCTCCCTGTGATCTACCCCACTATGTCAGCCAGTCCAGACAAAGTCTGGATGCAGTTTTAAATCAATTCAGCTCTGAGATATTCTGCTCTGATTCACCTTAGATAAAAAATAAATAAATAAAGCAAACTCTGTATACTCTGTACTGCTGCAAACAAGTATATTACATAAAAGTCCTGAGGATTCAGAAACCTTATAACCATGGCAACCAGCCTCTCATCAAAGTAATATTTGGAAGCAGCAATTCTCTAAAAAGCATAATCTCTGCAAGAGACCGCAAAAAGCAAATATTCTCAGTGAGACTGAAAAGTTAAAAGTTTATTTTAAAAAAATAAAGGAAAAAAAAAAAAAATACATGTCTCAATTGAGCTGAGGTTAGTTGAAAAAAAAATTAAAATAGCTTTTTTTTTTT